ATGCCTGATCAGTGTACATCTTTTAGCAAAGGGTGTTAGAGTGCTAACAAAGTAACACTTGATGCCCAAGACAGCAGTTAAGAGCAACATCGAGTGGAGTAATTAGTCAGTTGATATTACCAGAATTTACCAGAAAAAAAACTTTCAAGAAAATGAATATGGAATAAAATGTCAATCTTAAACAAAATGTGTTCATACAATTTTGTAAAATTGACATATTTTAATTTCTCCAAATAGAAAAAAACAGATACATGCAATTGAAGTTACCACTAATATTTTCAAAACCCTCAAAAATGAAATTAATTTAAATGTAAAATTACACTTGCATGCAAAAATATATGAAAAATACAGTGTTGGATGATGGCAACATCACTGAGCATCTTAAGGCTTCATTTACAGTCAGCCTATGCACATTTGTGTGTGACCTTCTACACTTTGAGTAATCTACTCACATTATTTTGTAAAATTTTAAAAGATTTTTTCTCTCTTTACACTTCACTAAGTGTCATCTTTCTTGACAATTTATTTGCTTCTCTATGTATTTTTTGTTAAAACTGAAAAAAGTATCATTACTGAGTCAAGAGAATGAAAACAAGCTAAAATATTGTGAGAGTGCACTGCTGTGCGTCACCCTTCAAAGCCTGAAATAATCATTTAATCATCAGAGGCGTCGGGTTGGGAGTTTTTCATACTAAATCATACGTCTTTACACATTAACATCATGCAGAGGCTCAAAAAGAAGGTATGATGCTATGCTTAGGTCTCAATGGTCTCAAATGATTTCAAAATCAACATTATACTGATGTAGATAATTCACTCACATCATCAGAAGCCGCGTCCTTCACCAAGTTTTGACTGAATTCTCTTTCAATGCACTCACAGTCAGCAGATTCATCCACTGGGGCAAGGGGTTCGAGGCACAACCAATGCTACAAAATTTTCTTCCACATGTTGCATGGAATTACACATTTCCACCAGAGAGGTCTCCAAATCCCACAAACATACATCTTGCAGCTTTAATAATTAACATGTGACCAGTCACTTGCGTCTAAGCTGTATAAAACATACCGTATTCCTTTTTAAAGATGGTTACATCACTGACATTTTAAAGCTTATTAAACTGACCTGTATGGGCCAACATGAATATAAAAATTGCATTCATCATTCTGTGTGTATATTTATCATTTTGTATATGTGTGTGTGAAGGTTAATGTTCATTATTGTATGTGTGCTGCAGGTCCGAGGGTGTGTCTGGGTGAGACTCTGGCGAGAACAGAGCTCTTCATCTTCTTCACCTCTCTGCTCCAGCGGCTGAAGTTCTCGTGGCCTCCTGGAGCTCCACCCCCAAACATGGATGGCATCTTGGGCATCGTCCGCTCTCCGTTCCCCTTCAATACAATCTGCCTCAGCAGAGAGACCACTCACTGAATCCTGTTCAGCCTTTACACCATAAATACACAATTGGAGAACTGGACACAACCTAACAGAGGAAAATTCAACAAATTTAACTTCTCATCACTTTCTAATAGTATGGTAGCAACAACATCTGTAAATTTTGACAGATATCTGATGGACATTTCTCAAGATTTACCCTGAAGACAGTTATTGTACTATAAAGTAACTTTTTATATTGTTTTGTTTCAGATGAGCAGCGTATATGATTAAGATGTAATGATCACTGTAATAAATCTGCAATATGCAAAAAGAAAATAACTGCTGGAAATTTATTCATATACTAATACTCAGGACACATGAATTTTTTTAAAAAGTGTCATTTTAAGGTAAAATATAGGCCTTCATAATTTTAGTTTATAAGTTTTGTTTTGAAGGAAAATATCTGCATTTTATTCCTTTTACTGTGTTATCAAGCAGAAAAAAATGCATTTTTTTAGCATTTTTCTGCCATGCAATCTAGGTGGATTTAGTTCCACATTTAACAAATGTTTATGTATTGACATCGGTATCGACAGATATATACATAAAAAAATATTGAATATTATTACCACTGTCTTCGAATTACCATACTGGGGCCTCTCTAATAAATACCGATGTTCAACACTTAATGTGAACTTCAAGTGAACTCTCTGAACAGACAATGTCAAACATCAACACAAAAATGAAATTTTAGACTACCTCATTGGAAACACCCTGTCTAATAGAATGAATTGTATTTGCCAAGTACAAAACGTGACGCCAGTCAGATTGAGTCAGATCATATTAATGAACTGTCAATGCAAAACTGCATTTCCCACCATCACCAGTTTCAGTACAGGCAATACAGCTGAAATGTCTGAAGTCCACTGAATATTTATTTATTTTTTTTTTTGTATTGGCCAAGTACCACTGAATCCTGTTCAGCTTTTACACCATAAATACACAATTGGAGAGCTGGACACAACCTAACACAGAGGAAAATTCAACACAGATTTTTATTTAACTTCTCATCACTTTCTAATAGTATTGTAGCAACAACATCTGTAAATTTTGACAGATATCTGATGGACATTCTCAAGATGTACCCTGAACACAGTTATTGTACTATAAAGAAACTTTTTATATTGTTTTTTTTTTGTTGTTGTTTTGTTTTGTTTTAGATGAGCAGCGTATATGATTAAGATATAATGATAGTCACTGTAATAAAGCTACAATATGTCTATAAAAATCAAACTGCTTAGAAGCAGATAAACAGCACATAGTGAAAGATAGCCAGGTCAAGGTACAGCCTCCACATGGACTCAGGGTGTGTGTGTGTGTGGGGGGGGGAGGGGGGGTTAGTTTTACAACTAAGCATCCCAAACTAAACATCAAGTGAACTTCACTTTCCCTCACCTAAATTCAATGCAGTTCATTTTTTAAAAACTTTTAAAATCTTATCATGTTGATATTTTTGTTTAAAATTAAATTTTCCAGTGTTTGACAGCCTCTTTTCACTAATCATATTTATTTTGATGCATATAGGTTAAAACAACATGGAATTGAATTGAATTAGTCGTGTTTGCAACAACTTACCTGACTTTTCAAGCAAATATAACATTTATCCCTGTCGGTGGGGTAAGTTGTAACATTTCCACTAATGCCACTTTCACTTGTTGCTCTAGAAAAATAAAAGTACAAAAGATTTTCAACCAAAGCTTGTAAGCAGAAAAAAAATCATGCACCAGTCATTGTTATTCATTTTCACCTACAGTACATTATTTAAGCAAACACTTGAGCTTGCTTTTACAGTGTAATACATTAATGTAGTGTTTTTGTATAAAAGGTGTTTGTTTCTTATTCATATAAATGCATATATGCTTTAATGCATTTTACCATGTTTTTCAAATTTTATCAAAGCTTGAGGTCACATTAATGAAGATTATTTTGAGAACAAAAAGAATAAATAAAGGTTAAGGTCATGTACCATATAGTGTACGTAGAGATCTTATATTCTTGTATATAGTCTAGTGTTGTAGTACTCATGTCCAGTTTTGGTCTGACGACTGGAAATGAATGGAAATTAATGGTGTATGACTCAAAGGCTGCAGTGACAAACACCGGCCAGGACAGCGGGGAGAGAGCTGCGAGTGGGTGACAAATTGACATTATGAATGAAAATGGATCATTCAACCCCTGGCACCATATTTTACATCAGGAGAGGAAAAACGGGTTTCTAATGTCTATCCTCAAACTGGTATGGCAATTTATTAATATAATCCTAAAAAGTGGCTTTATGAAGGAAAATATAGGCTTTTGACCACTACCACCATAATTATATCAGAATCAGTGGATTTCTGAGATTTTGTCTGAAATTTGCTGAGTGTTGTTAGAAAATAACTGCTGGCAATTTATTCATATAGTAAAAGTTAGGACACATGAATCTTTTTAAAAAGTGTCATTTTAAGGTAAAATATAGGCCTTCATAATTTCAGTTTATAAGTTTTATTTTGAAGGAAAACATCTACATTTTATTCCTTTTACTGTGTTATCAAGCAGAAAAAAATGTGGCATTTCTCTGCTATGCAATCTAGGTGGATTTAGTTCTACATTTAACAAATGTTTATGTATTGTCATCGGTATCGACAGATATATACATAAAAAAATATTGGATATTATAACCACTGTCTTCGAATTCCCATATTGGGGTCTCCCTAATAAATACCAATGTTCAACACTTAATGTGAACTACAAGTGAACTCTCTGAACAGACAATGTCAAACATCAACACAAAAATTAAATTTTAGTTTACCTCATTGGAAACACCCTTTCTAATAGAATGACCTTATATTTGCCAAGCACAAAACGTGATGCCAGTGACTAAAAGATGTGTATTTTCTGTCATAATGCCACTTTTTATTTAAACATGTATGTGTCCTGAGTAAGACTATGTTAATAAAGTGCCAGCACAAAACTGTATTTCCCAGCAACACTAGTTTTAGTATAGCCAGTAGAGCCAAAATGTCTGAAATCCACTGATTTTTTCTATTCGCCCACTACAAAATGTGGTGCAAGTGGCCGAAAGACATGCATTTTCCTTCATAATGGCACTTTTATTAAAGATTTATGTGACTTGAGTCAGAGAATATTAATAAACTGTCAATGCAAAACTGCATTTCCCACCATCGCCAAAATGTCTGAAATTCATTGATTTTGTGTATTTGCCAAGTATGAAATGTGGTGCCAGTGGCTGAAAAATGCATTTTCCTGCATAATGAGACTGTTTTCTTTTTTTTTTTTTGTTTGTTCTGCTTTAATTGAGTCAACAAAAATACAGTACAAGAAGGGTAGAATTTGTCAATAGAAAATGTATAAAAAAAACATGAAAAAGTGACACTAAACAAGTACCAATACAACAAAGAAAAGCAATGACTAGTTAATAATTTTCAATCAGCCAAAAAACAAACTTACTCATTGAAGGAGGGACTTTTATCTTGACAAGATTTCATTGGCTATTCTGGCCAAGTGTGCCCTGGTTTCACTGTATAAAGGTGTGTGTGTCTGTGCTCTCCTGCACTTCTCTCAGAATGGAGTCTGTGCTGAGATATTTGGACTGGACTTCAGTGGGCTTGGCCCTGCTGGGTGGTCTGCTCTCTCTGCTTCTGCTAGAGATCTTCAGGTTGAACTCCTCCAGGAGCCGCTACCCTCCCGGACCCAAACCGTTGCTCTTTGTTGGTAACCTGCCACAGCTCATAAACACCCCAATGGAACTCTTCAGATCGGTCAGTTTTGCATGTTGTTTGTTATTGAGACAGTATGTAGTAGAGATTAAGACCATGTCATGCATCATGTACTATTTTTACACATGAACATTTCCACAGATCTGGAGAGCTAATTTGAAGAGCTTTCCACTCTTTATTACTATGCCAGTGTTTAGCTGAAATATTCTATTTTTACACATGAAAATCTCAATTGACACGAATAAAAAAAATAAATATGACAAATTTTAGATGATTGTTGACAGTGTTTGAATATAAAGTGAAACTCCAAAGTTCTAGCACATGCTTACTTGGCACTGAGGAGACCAAAATAGAGCAACAGTGCAAGATACGATGCATAAAATATGGGTGTCGGTTGTACAGCTGTTGGTGCGTCAGTACGCTATGATGTTAGAAATATCATAAAACCCATAGTGGTGTCTGTGAGAAGTACACTGGTGGATTTTTTTACGTAACCATCTTATAGATTATCTTATAAAAAAGGGGAGGCTGGTCTTTTTTTCTGACTTATAAAAGACACAGGGCCACTGGTCTATCGTACCTTCAAAATAAAATCTCTTTTCGGCATTACGTGGTTCTAAGTTTAAGGCTCAGACATTCCACCCCACACATAAATAGAGCGTCTGATATGTACTGCACACACAACCGGCCACAGCTATTAGTGTTTTTACATCATTATCATGAGATGAACAATGCTGTTTTTCCGAGAAAACTGAACAATTTTCTTGAAATATTAAGAAATTAATTAATTAACTAATTAAGTAATATTAAGAGAGAAAGTATTTTACTTTGTCTTTCATGCAAAACACCACTCTTTTTTATGATCATCTGTACAACTTGGCCTGTACCAAGGTAAAAAAAAGCATTAGAAGTTCATAAATAAGCTATTTCAGTTTTTTTGTCATCTAATGATGAACATGTCCATAGTCTTAAATATATAAGTAGGCATATTTAATGTAGTTTGCCCAATTATGACTGCCAAAATAATGCTAATTTCCTCTAAGGAATTTGCAGTGTTATGTTAGCACTGAGATAAGAGTGGTGTACATTTGTACATTGTAAGCCAGCCAGTGAATAAACATGAAACCAGGCCTCTACATCAATATGGTGTCTTCCTTTAGCACCCTACACTTTTCCATCAAGCTGTAGATGCAGTAAACCTTTTACTTCCTCAACAGATGACAAAATATGGGGAGATCTGTTCCATGTACCTAGGCAGGCAGCCAGTAATAGTGTTGAATAACCTGCAGATAACGAAGGAAGCTTTTGTTCAGAATGGGGCCGTGTTTTCTGGAAGGCCGGCCATGCCAGTGATCGACTGGATTACCAATGGGTTTGGTCAGTAACACAAGACTCATCAACTTCTTTGCTTTACTTTTGCTGCTGTAGTACATGTCTCAGCATTGCTGTTTCATCTGCAGCGTGAGACGTCTCTCAATAGATGACTAAAAGTCATTTTGCCTTAGTCTCTGATATTTACTCCCATTATCTTTCCTTTACTATCTCACTGTACCTCTTTCTGCCTCTCTCAGGTATCCTGGCAGCCACATATGGTCATTCTTGGAAACAGCAGCGCCGCTTTGCTCTGCACACTCTGCGCAACTTTGGTCTGGGGAAGAAAACAGTGGAGGAGCGCGTGGCCGAGGAGGCTCAATACCTCATAAAAGAGATGCTCAAGCAGGAAGGTAGTCACAGCTGCATTTACGAAACTTCTGAGTGGATAAATGTAGATTTGGGCTCAGGTGCTCTAATTAACACTCATGAGTCAATTTCTTCCTACATTATATTTAATTATTTCTCACTTGTATCACATGAAAACTGGTCATAATATTGGATGGGAGGACTACACAAATAATACCTCTCAATAGCTTTGAGCATCACATTTGAGATGCCTCTTCCCAGCTATAATTAAGTGCACAATTAAAGTAATGTTATGAGAAGCTTTATAATATGTGGTCTAAAACTCTTGAGGTTGAGTTTTGTATTTTATATTTTGTACATTTATATTAACAACCACCATGTAATGTAAATCAAGCCTAGATTCCTTAGAAAGCTCTAGATTTCTAAGATTTTCTAATGCATTACATTATAATTTGTTGTTATTTGTTTATTGACTTTTTGTAGTCAGGCTACATCCTTAAGAGTGAGTGCTGAACAAACACTGTAGCTCAGACATAGTATCTCGTTCATCAATAATGGGACAAGAGCCAATTTTCTGGCTTATGAATATACAAGTGCTATGATGATATTTATTGAATTTGACTGCCATTTCGTTTTAAAGGGAAGCCTTTTTACCCCATCCACGTAATTATGAATGCAGTCTCCAACATCATCTGCTCTGTCGTGTTTGGGGACCGCTTTGAGTATGACGACAAGCAATTTGCTAAGTTGCTGGAATTTCTCAATGAAAACCTTCGCCTTCTTGGATCAACTGCAGGACAGGTAACAACCAATTAGATCTTTCCTGATGATTACTGATTCTCAGAATCACAACTTGTCATTGATTAGGTTTCTAGAGCTAGAAATCCATGATCTAAATTAATTGTATGAAAGTACAGATATTTTGAAATCCTTCTGGGCCAAATTCCAGATGAAGCATATACCTACACTAAAATGATTTTTAACAAATAATATCCATTTACAATTTGATTTAATCCTTTACTACCCTTTGAACCTGTGTCCCAGACAACCAGTTCCCTTTATCTTTAGCATGAATGATGCTAATTTAACCTTAGCTCAACCTTTGATTTCTTTGTAATATTTTCACTAGTAACTCCTAATGTGGAAATGTAGTTTTTAAATGCAAAGAACCTTCAAAAATGTTATCATATTTAATGATCCTGTGGGACATTCGTCTGCTTCTTTTTTTGTAGATCTTCAACCTGTTCCCCTTCATAAAGCACTTCCCAGGACCACACCATAAGGTGTGGCAGAATGCCAACTCCTTAAAAGAGTTCATCCGTGAGGCCGTGGAGGAGCACAGGAAGTCTCTGGACCCAGAACACCTTCGAGATTTCATTGATGCCTACCTTGTGGAGATGACCAAGGTGAGAGGTCAAGTAGCAGGACAAACTGCTGACCCAAGAGACAATTCTGAAAGGAGGAACCCTATCATTACATATTTATGAACTTAATTTGACCATTATCAAGAGTCATAGAGTGTTGTTTAGTTTTGCTGCCCTCTGGCTGAGTGACTGAGTGACCGATACCATTGTGGAAACATGCTTTTGCAAGCACCCCCCTAGATAAACAGTAGGTAACATACTAAAACCCCAAATGTAGGGCTAACAAACAAATCATGAAAGAAAACACAAAAACGCATTATTTGAAAAAAGGGCATTTACTATACACTGTGGGCAGGTGGACTAAAATATTAATTTGCCACCCCGCACATCATGCCAGGGTTTTTTGTTTCATGATCCACAGACACTTGCTTGCCTAGTCTTGTTAATGGTGCAGTATTTGATTTGGTTGAGGGTGAGCACCGAGAACCTTAATGTTTCACATAATAGTTACAGTATCTCTATCATTTGCAGACTGTATCTCTTCCAGAGTGACTTACAGCAATGCTTCCTTTATTGTAGTGCAAATATACCCGAGTTTAAGGACACTTTCCGTTGTCGGGTATTGAAGTTGTCCTGTACAACATATAATAGATCAATCATTCTATCAGCCTAGAGTCTTCTTCAGTAGCTAATGTGTGACAGACGAACAATTCTCTTCTTGTTCTGGGCAGCAAGTGTCAAAAGAAGACTCTTCATTCCATGAGGATAACATGATCATGTCCACTGCTGACCTTTTCCTCGCTGGAACGGACACCACAGCCACAACTCTCAGATGGGGCCTCATTTACATGATGGACCACCCTGATGTGCAAGGTACACAACAGTATGGACCAAGATTAGTCAACAGTATGCAGATAGCAATATTCCTTCTGTCATGCCACGATCGAATGCAATTTGATGTGACTGCATAGAAATAAATATGTAACATAACATCAGCTATGAAACACACTTTGCTCTCCACTCAGTCTTAAGTTCATGCTGCCACATGCGCGTGTCTCTTAATAAGCCGGTAACCTTTGGTATTGCTCTCTCAAGTTTACGGTCTTTCACTTTGGGTTTCCCTAAGTTATAGCTCCCAGTATAAGTATTCAAAAAAAAAAAAAACTTAATAAATAAAAATAAAAATAACCCAAACTTAAAAAACATTGTATGTTTACTCCCCTACATGGGAAAGCAGAAATTAAAGAAATAAAAAAGGAATTTTATTTTGTTTTTCTGAAAGATATTTGAGATTGCAATCCCTTTTTTGTTAATCTTTAATTTTCAGTTTTTCCTACCCTTATCAGTGGCTTACTGGTGTGCACACTGGGATTGTGACCCGCAGAGAGGTAGTTCAATCCCCCCCTTTTACCTAGAATTATCTCAGCTTAAACAGCTTGTCAAGCCCTGTGCCTCAGTATATGGCCCAGTGGCTTAACCCTTGGCCTTCTGTTCACCCTTCAAGCAGATCGCCGGTTCAAACCGGGGGTAAGCCAGCCCCCATGTCAAAGCAAAACCTCCCACTTTGAAATTCCCCAATGCTCCATGGTGGTTTGCATTGTTTTACTACTCACAGGTCTAGCCCTAGCCTAGGCCACCCCTGTATAGGAGAATAAGCCTGCCATGTTCCTGCTCAGAACTGTTTATGGCCACCATGTCTAGGGAAGGATGCCTGGTTCTTTCTTGCTTCATATACAGCAGGGCAAGCCATCGGAATATGGAAGCAATAATGGCCGATTTCCATCAGGGCCTGAGTGAGGTGGACTGGAGCACATGTGGGTTTTCCTTTATACCCAATTCCTCCTGAGCAGGCCAAGCAGCCCATGAAGTTAAGATGTACCTGTCTTTCCTGGCAAGAACGCAAATCCTGCATGTGGGAAGGCAGGTGCCTTTACTGTGGGCAAGCCAGCCACTTCTGCCCTGAAAGCCCTGAACTTATGGGGGAAAGTCAAGATCCATTGCAGGGACAAACCTGTGACAAACTCAGGTCATTCTTCCAAGGCACCCAGGTTTTTCTTAAGCGCTGCCCACTCTGTGCGAGAAATTACTTCAGGCATTTATTGACTTGAACAGGGAACTTTACCAATGTCACCTTGGCCAAGGCCCTAAACCTGCCACTAGTGAATTTCGAGGTCCCTGTACCGGTTTCAGGCATTGGCGGCCAGCCTCTTGGTTTGGGCCAGGTCTACCAGCAGACCCAGCCCCTCCCTTTATGAGTGGATCAGAATGTTGAGCAGATTTAGCTTCTGCTCCCTTGGGCCTTTGAGCTGCAGCTGATTTTAGGGTTTCCCTGCGTACAGCGTCACAGTCCATGCCTGCTTTGGCCTTCCTGGTCTGTGGAGGGTTGGGGTTCTTAATGTAAGAGGTCCAATCAAGTCAACATTCTAGAGCTCTGGCTGACTACTAGGCCTGCACGATATATCATTTCATCACAAGATGTGCAATGTCAAGTAAGGCAAATGAAATCAAACATATCATGCTACTGTTGGGAATCTAAAGGGTTAAGGTTCTGAGTACATTGCATTGTGGTAATTGTAGTAAGTTTACCTGTAGTTCACGTGGTGCTGTAGCCCCTGCTGCACCGTGAAATGTCCTCTCATTCTGCCATGCTTTTCTTTTCATGATGGCCGTTCATTCTTGTTTTATCATCAAACTCTCTGCAATAAATGCCCAGCACTTCCCTGCCATTCGAGTCTAATTCATCCATTGTCAGTGGAAACTTGCCAAAATCATGGGTATTACCCCAAAATGTGTGGATAGTTGAACTCACTCTGGTGCTGGAGCTAGTAATGTTAAATGCTACCCAGAGCCGTTCAGAACACGGTCCAGTCCAGAGGCAGAAATCAGGAAAGGTAACACAAAAACTTTTTGCTGCTTGAAACAAGGGAAAACTCTTGTACACGGTTCTCATTTTCCATGAATAATCACGAAGGCCCCTTCTCTATTTATCAGAGTGTCTGGAGTAAAGATATGATTATGAAATTTAGGATTTGTTGTTCTGTAATAGCTACTGTCCTAAATTCAGTCCTATCTGAAGTTGTCGTGATTTCAGGTTAGGATGTTTCTGTAATATGGCCCCAGTATCATTTCTAGACACCATCATTCATTCACAGATGAGTTCCTTAATTTAGGGTAAGCAACATGCATTATTAGTAACATGAAATGTTAGATCATTGACTTCAGCTTGGATTGATAAATATGAATACAATGGTGTCATGGTGTGTCAACCAAAGTTTTAAACTACCTAATTTCTCTCTCCAAAATCACTTCAGAATAGTAGTCATAGCACTCACCTGCATTTTTATTTGGTGCATTGAAACCAATTGTATAGCATTAAAAGTCAAGAAATATTAGTTTACATAAAAAGCCTTCAGAGTAAAAAGTAATTTTTTAGCTATTTTAAAATATTTTTTTTAATTTTCTATGCAGTTGAACTCCACTACAAAATCACCTAATCATTCTAGAATGATTAATTATTTCCAAATATAACTATTTATGTCATATTGTGAAAATTCTTTTATTTTTTCATATTGCAATAAAAATGACAGAAAAAAACAAACAAACAAACAAACAAACAAAAAAAACTCAATGTCAGTTTTTTCCAATATTGTGCAGCCCTACTGACTACCTTGAGACACTGCAACAAGCCTCAATTTCTTACTAAGCCAGACTTGCACAGTGTTTATAACCTCATTAGGTTGTGCCAGGGCAACAAATGGAAGACAGCATTCAATACTCCCTCAGGGCACTGTACCTTGTGATGCCATTCAGGTTAATGCAGGAATGCAGGCACTGGCTGGAGGGGGCAGAACATCTGTTCCTGGCCTGGATGGACCACAAGAACTTGACCGATACTCAGCAGGTCAAGTGTCTCAATCTGCACCAGGTCTGATGGGCATTATTTTTCAGTCGATTTGATTTTGTCCTGTTGTATTGGCCAGGGTCAAAGAACATCAATCCCAGTACCTTTTCCAGGCTGTGAGATGACCATGCTTCAGAGCCTATAACCCCCAAGACGCAAATTGTAGCTCTCTTGTGCTGGGGACCAGAAACTACCATTCAGGGGGCGCTTTAGAATGAGCTGGACCCTGAGGTGGTCCCCGGACCAGCAGTACATTCTGTCTTCCTCCCATCCCCTACGTAGCAGCCTGCCATATCTGCACTCAGAACAGAAAGCACAGAACAAGACCAGCAGGTGTGCCCCAACCCCTTCCCATTCCATCTCAGCCATGGTCATATCTCTCTTCAGACTTCATCCCTGGGACGTGGGCAACCCAGTGATCTTGGTCATGGTGATCCGGTTTTCTGAGGCCTGCAAATTCATTGCAGTGCCTAAACTCCTGTTGGCCAGAGAGATGGCCATGCTGCTAATGTAGCATGTGGTAAGGGTCCATGGGTTCCCTACAGTGTCTGATCGAGGGCCTCAGTTCACCAGCTGATTTTCATGGTGTTCTGCCAGCTGCTAGGGCCTCAGTAAGTCTGTCCTCAGGTTTTCACCCTCAGTCATCGGTCAGACTGAAAGAGTTAACCAGGACCTCGAAAGGATGCTCAGGTGCATGGCATCCTCTAGGCCATCCACATAGTCTAAGCACTTGCTCTGGGAAAAAGTATGCCCATAATACCTTGTGGCACACCTCACTGGGCATGACAGACTTCAAGTGTCAGTTTGGGTATCTTCCTCCCATGTTCCTTAAGCAGGAGTGCAAGACACAGGTCCTAGCAGCCCGACACTTAATGCAGCAGTGTCTGCAGGTCTGGTGGAAGGTCTGTGATGCTGTCTTGGCATCTCAAAAACGGGTCGCTGGCCTTCATTGGCTTTCCTCCAATGACCTGCCACTGTGTATTGAATCTCCTAAGCTTACCTAGTGGTATGTGGGGCCCTTTAAGGTGGTTCAACTCATCAACCTAGTATCCTACTGGCTTCTCCTCCCCCGTTCCATGCGGATAAACCCGATATTCCGTGTCTCCAACCTCAGTTAAAGTCTTAAATGTCCACACTGCCATTCCCTTATCAGTGACATGGTAGTGTGCACGTTGGGTTTTCAACTCTGGGATTAGCAGTTCAGTTCCCCTCTCTAAACTATAATTATCTCAGCATAAACAGTTTCGAGCCATACTGTCCGTACTGCTCTGCACCGTTAACCTTTTAACCTTTAGCATTCTGGTCTCCCTACAAGGAGACCATCATTTTAATTTTCACACAGGATAAGCCAGCCCCCATGTTACAGAATGCTTTAATAAAACAATTCGTAAAACTGTCATTTTTTAATTATGTCCATCTTTTTTTTCTTTTTTCAATCTTTCTTGACCACGTGTCAGAGCGCTGTCATGAGGAGATCATTCAGGTGTTGGGTTTTGACCGTTCTCCCTGCATGGATGACCGCACACAGCTGCCATATACTTATGCCACCATCCACGAGATCCAGCGCTGTTCCACCATTGTCCCCACCGTGTTGCATGACATTACACAGCCAACACAGCTCCGGGGATACAACCTCCCAAAGGTAATGGAGGCATAGTGGAATGGCTTGTATTTATTTAAGTACATGACTCTAAAAAAAATGGTAATCCAAAAGTAATGGTAAGTAATTGGATTACATTACTTTAATATAGAAATCTTTTGGATTAGGATACAGTTAGATTTTTGAAAAGGTAATCAGTAAAACAGTAATATACCAGAATATATTATAAAGTAATCTTTCCATGTACACTCCCACAGGTCAAGAGATTTGCTTGACGGTAATAGATTGGATGATTTATACCTGGCATTTTTAAAATGTATGTATTTATTTATTTACCTTTGCAGGGAGCAATGGTGATGTGCAATTTAATGGCCATCATGACTGACAAAAACCACTGGAAGTACCCAAACACGTTCAACCCAGAGAACTTTCTGGATGAAAAAGGACAGTTCTGCAAAAATGACTTCTTTGTGCCGTTCTTTCTGGGTGAGTCTGCTGTTTCTACAGCAAAGCTAATGAGCTATGCACATTGCTGCAAAATAAGCTTCAACAACACAAGGGTGGGAGATATGCCAAAAAATGTAACCCTGCAATATTTGAAGACATTTTCAAGATACACAATGCATATCACAATATTTAGTGCTATCAAAAATTTTAGTACATTTTTAGGTACACATTGTATTCAATTCATACACAACTCTCCAATAAATCAAATTAAACAGGCTGATAAAATATTGTCATGTTACCAACCTTACTTTCAGCACCGGACATAGAGGGAAATATTTGGGTGTATAAACGTGCCCAGCATTTAATTAGGAACACTATACTAATACTGTGTAGGACTTCCCTATCCTCTCAAAACAACCTCAATTTTCATAGCATGGGTTTTACAAGATGTTGGAAACATTTCTTTAAGATTCTGATCCATGTTGACTTGATTGCATCACGCAAATAATGCAGATTTGTGACCAGACCAGTTTGTAATTGGCTTTTGCTTTGTGACATGGTGCATTGCCATGCTGGAAGTAGACATTACAGGGTGGGTAAACTGTGGTCATGAAGGGATGCACATGGTAACAACACTCCAATAGGCTGTGGCATTCAAGCGATGATTGATTTGTATTAAAGAGCCCAAAATGTGCCATGAAAACATTCCTCAGACCATTACACCACCTCCACCAGCCTGGACTGTTGACACAAGGCAGGTTGGGTCCATAGATTTATGCTGTTGTTGCCAAATTCAGGATGCTCCCATCTGTGTGCTACAGCAGAAATCAAGATTCATCAGACCAGGCTACATTTTTACAGTCTTCATCTGTCCAGTTTTGGTGTGCGTGTGCCTACTGCAGCCTCTGTTATCTGTTCTTGGCTGAGAGAAGGGGAACCCAACATGGTCTTCTGCTGTTGTAGCCCATCTCCCTCAAGGTTCAATGTGTTGTGCATTCTGAGATTATTTTCTGTTTGCCACAGGTGTACAGAGTGGTTATCTAAGTTACCGTAGCCTTTCTGTCAGCTCAAACCAGTCTCTGTTGACTTCTCTCATCAAAAAGGCATTTCTGTCTGCAGAACTGCCAGGTTTCTTTTCCTATTGTTGCACCATTCTTAGTGAAATCAAGAGACATTTTTGTGTGAAAAGTCCCAAAAAAAATCCCATAAACAGTCACATTTTCCTCCCTTTCTGATGGTTGCTGTAAAACATTTCTTGAAGCTGCTGGACAGTATCTGCATGATTTTATGCACTGCACTGCTACTGCAAGGTTGGCTGATTAGATAATTGCATGAATGCGTAGGTTTACAGATGTTCCTAATAAAGTGCTCGGTGAGGGGATATAAAGGCTTAAAATCAAAGATGTCTCATCTGTTCTGTTCTGTTAGCCTACCACTTTATGGCTGAGCTGTTATTGCACCTAGATGCACCTGTCTTGTTGACCAGGACAAATCTAGTGGGGTAGAAATTTGACAAACTTACTTGTTGGACTAGTGGCATCATTTCGCTACTGACGGAACAAAACCTCGTATCTCCATTTTCGTCGTTTTTCACGAAACGTGTACGTTTTTCAGGTTTCGACATAATTTGAAAATGCCTGTTGCCCTTTACATTGTGTGTAAATTTCATGACGAATGGACCAAAAAAATGGCGCGAAATGACTTTTAAAAATTCTGGTTCCATTGGCTTAAATTAAAAGTAAAGTGTTTTTTGCTTCTCCTGTAAAGTTACCATTTTGGAGATATGAGGTTTTGTTCTGACAGCAGCGATATGTTAAAGTTAAGTTACAAAGTAACTGAGCTCTTCAGCACTACCCGTTCTACTGCAAATGTTTGCCTGTTGAGATTAAATGGCTATAAACTTGTTTATATGCATGTTTTACCTAAGATTGTGGCTAAAATGTCCAAAATGAAATTTGTAATAAGAACTGATTCATCACTGGACTAATTTAGAGTGCTAACAAAGTAACACTTGATGCCCAAGACAACAATAAAGAACAACATTGAGTGGGGTAATTTGTCAGTTGGTTAAAACCAGAATTTTTAATCAGAAATAAATAACTTTCAAGAAAATAGAAAATAAATATTGAATAAAATGTCACTGAAACATACTGTACTCACATAATTTTGTAAAATTTCAAAATATTTTTTTCTTTATTTAAATAGAAAAAAATAAACATACAAGCAACTGAAATTACCACTAATATTTTGAAAAAAAAATAAATATATATATAATATATATATATATATATATATATATATATATATATATATATATATATATATATATAAAACGTTACATGCACAGGCTAAAAACAAGGTCTGTCTCAATGTTTAGGTCTCAAATAATCTCAAAATCAACATTATACTGAGGAAGAAATGATGCCAATAGTAAATAATTCACTCACATCCTCAGAAGATGTGTGCTATACCAAGTTTTGACTGAGTTCTCCTTGAATACTATTTCAACACGCTCACATTCATCAGATTCGTATAAGGGGTCCACAAAATTATACTCATTAATTTGTGTGTGTGTATGTGTGTGTTTTTGCTGCAGGTCCGAGAGCATGTCTGGGTGAGACTCTGGCGAGAACTGAGCTCTTCATCTTCTTCACCTCTCTGCTTCAGCAGCTGAAGTTCTCGTGGCCTCCTGGAGCTCCACGCCCAAACATGGATGGCATCTTGGGCATCGTCCGCTCTCCATGTCCCTTCAATACAATCTGCCTCAGCAGAGAGACCACTCACTGAATCCTGTTCAGCCTTTACACCATAAATACACGATTTTAATTCTGGATTTAACTCAACTCAACAAAAACACATTATCAACTCTTACTTTGTACCATCACTAACCTGAGATAAATGTCAGAGAGAGCCAGACACAACCTAACACAGAGGAAAATATAACACAGATTTCACTTTATCATACTACCATGACAACATCATCTGTAAATTTAGATATCTGATGGACAGATGATGGACTGATGACTCCAAAAGCCATATAATAGTATAAGCGTACCAATTTGAGTGAAAAGTAGAGTCTTTGAAAGTTGAATGATTTTCAGAATTTCTTACTATGCGGTATACCTTCTTTAGCGTTAATGACAGCCTGCATTGGCATGGACTGGCATCATACAAAAGCCCCTGATGTGCAGCTCAAATCCTCCTGAGAGTTGTCTGAACATGAGTTTCACTGGAAGAGACAAGACTAAAAAACAATCTGACCTATCTGTATGAAAGGCCTCAACATGGCCAATTTCACACATTTACTTAAATTTGAAAAGTGATCTTGAAATAGCGCAAAATTTATTAATTTTAATAATTTTTTTGTTTTAAATGTTTCAAAACTGCACAACTTTCTGTATTGTAAAACTGTATACATATGTGTGTGTGTGTGTGTGTGTGTGTGTGTGTGTGTGTATGTGTGTGTGTGTGTGTGTCTGTGTGTGTTTTATATGTATATATGCAAAGTAGTTAAATGTGAACACATTCAAATATGGCATTTTTCTTTTAATTTCTAATTTTAGTAAACAATTTTTCTTTATTTGCTGAGTCTAACAGTGAAAAAAATAAAACATAAAATAAAAAATGTGTCATTTTTTGCAAAGGCAACATTTAATGTTTTATTTATTATAAAAAAGAATGTTTTATAATTGTTATAATTTAGAACAATTCTGAACAAGGCCAAAACAACAGCTTAACAGCATAACAATAAAAACATTAATAATAATAATAATAATAATAATAATGTTGGTAACACTTTCTATGAATGTCACATTTGTAAGCATCTATAAACACATTTATAACATGTTATAATGCATTCATAAGGCATTATAAACATGGTTATAAATATTTATAAAAATGAATTACACTGAATTGCACTTTATAGCCATGTTTATTGTACATTATGAATTGTTAATATAATGCATTATAAGTAGTGTTAATAACATGTTATACTGTCAGTGGCAAAGAAGTCAGTCCCAGCTTGGAGAGCATAAAATAAAGACAAATACAAAGTTTATTTTATTATTTACACCCTGGAATTTCCAATACTTTATTACTCACTGCTGGTGCTGTTAGAACTGCATCTTCAGGACTTCAGTCCTGAATATTCAGAGGCTGTCCAGCCTAGAATTATTGCTACAATGTGCTTTTCTTAACCAGCACTCTGACTTTAAATGTTACATTACATCACTGCAAACCAAATACAAAAACACTACTGATGGCAGCTCTAGTTTAAACTCTGACATTTGAAGCCTGTAATGAGCTTTATTATGTATGTTTTAGTGTTTCAGTAAATCCTTCAGTAAATACATCAACTTGAAGCCTCACTCTTAACACTGGAGGAGGCTTTAGTACAGTACGCTTCACTTTACTTAGAGTGGACAAATACAACTTATAAGCTCTTATTTGTTATGAACAGTACTTAACAGTTGTTAACAATTCATAATGCATAATAAGCATGGCTATAATGTGTAATGCATTTTTATAAATATTTATAGCCATGTTTATAATGCCTTATGAATGCATTATAACATGTTATGAATGTGTTGATAGATGCTTACAAACGTAACATTCATAGAAACTGTTACCTACATGTTTTGTGTATATTGTGTTATCGTGATCATATAGTGGAAATATTGTGAGTCTGAGTCCCTATCACCTACCTCTTCAAGTAACCCAAATGTAGCAGAACAGCCAATGATTGCTGTAATAATGAAAGATGAAAAATTACAGTCAAAGTCAAAAGTGATCCAGTTGAGCCCTACAACTGCAAGATCAATGCTACAGCTAATCCAATCTGTTGGTTTGGGGCCAACCCATTCTGCTACCTGGCAGCAGAACAAGTAAATGTTGTATTTGAGAGGACAGTTCAAAGGCCAAAGTCAGTTAATTGTCTCATGTGATCTGTTTGTATGATTGTAAAGGCTAAGATTGAGAAGGCCTAGTCATAGTGATGGCAGCAAAGCCTGTGTTTGTTCCTGCTCCATTTAGTAACAAAACCAAGCGCGACATCACTGTGGATCAACAAATAGTCTTTCACCTACAAGTGATAAAAAACAGCATGTGCTATACAATCAGAACATGTGGCACTTTCTGAAAAGAAAAAAAAAACACATCTTTACAAATTATGCAAAGAAACAAACAAAGAGAAAACACAAATACATTTGATAACACTTTCTATGAAGCCTGTATTTATAAATAGCTATAAATGTACTTGTATCTCTTTGTAACTTGGTAACAGAGCTTTGTAAGCCTACTTTTAAACTCTAATAGTGCCTCATGAGTCAGTAATAATGATGATAATAATGATAATTCTTTGATGACTTATAAGCATGTCATTATAATGTCTTTTAAACAGATAATGACCTGTGGGTGTGTGTAAATTTTGATGAAGCTTAGTGTTGAAGCTAAATATGCCAAAGAAATGAGCAGATGGTTGTTTTATGCAGACAGAACCTTTTCAAAAATGTCTTCTCAATTGAAAAAGTAATAGTGAAAAAATAAAAATTCAAAAGAAGATGTGATTTTTGAGGGTTGTGCATAATGTGATTTGATTTTGTCCTTACCAACATGAACAAAAAAAAATAAAAAAGCATTACGTTCATCAAAGTGTCTTTCAGGTTTTGCCAAAATACAGATTTGACTTTTTTAAAGTATTGTTAAGAGCACAACTCTTTTGGTCCAAAGGTGATGTAAACAGCTGAAAGGTTTGAGCGAAATCCTGGACTAATGCAGGTTGCAGGTCACTCAAATCTTTTTTGCGCCATTTTGGCAATAACTCTGGACTCCTCAGTGCTGATTGCTGATATGAGGTTGTAAACTCTGAGCATAAACTGTGTGAACACATCTGACCTAAATGCCATAAAAGCAAGAGTAATGTTTTCTGTGCTGTTGAACTTTCTCTGCAGTTCTGTACTGCTTTTGTTCAGGACAGGTTACATTAACTTCTCCCAGAAATGCCCTTCATGATGGAAGCGTACAGGAGTGTCTGTCATGTGATCAAAATAAACACCCTCCCATCCTGGTTTTGGTGTATAAAGCTGTGAGTGTCTATGCTCTCCTGCACTTCTCTCAAAATGGATTCTCTGCTGAAATATTTGGACTGGATATCTGTGGGTTTGGCCCTGATAGGTGGTCTGCTCTCTCTGCTTCTGCTAGAGATCTTCAGGTTGAACTCCTCCAGGAGCCGGTTCCCTCCCGGACCCAAACCACTGCCCTTTGTGGGAAACATGCCAGATCTCATAAAGAACCCAAAAGCCCTCGCCAGATCGGTCAGTTTTATATGTTTTCTGTTACTTAGACAGCATATGACAGTGTGATCATGTCATGCATATGTATTATGTGTTATGAAGCAACCTTTAATAATCCTCTAGCAGGTGGAGAATGTTTGATACCTGATATCTCTTATCTGTAAGCTACAAACACTGTAATTGCTTTGCAATTGACAAGCCAACTAAGGCCGACTTAACATCACCTTCTGTCTTCTCACCACTGCCTTTCATCTCCTGTAAAAATTTGCACTCAAGTGCACCGCAAAGACCATGGCAGATGGCTGACACACATGTACTTAATGCGCCTGCAGGAAACAGAACCGCTCTCTATAGCAAGAACTGGAGTCTGTACAACTGCAACATATAAAGCAGAAAATAGATTGTTTGAAAGTCTTCCAAGCTTCAAATGTCAGTGTTTATGGACAGTGTAACCTACACTGTGAAAGTGAAAGGAAACCACTGTGAGCTTGGTGCTGTTAGCTTGCTATGGCTAAAATGGCTACTTAAATGTGATTTTGTGAAATTATAAGCAATGGTCATGTGGCTGTTGGTGCATCAGGGCTCTATGATGTTACAAAATCTCAAAACCCATAGTGGTGTCTGTAAGAAGTGGAGTTTCTTATCTAGACATCTTATATCTTATTTTATAAACAAAGGGAGGCTGGTCTTCTTTTTCTCTGACTGATAGGAGACACTGGGCCACTGCTCTATAGTACACTTTGGTAGCCCAGCCTCACCCTCCGACACTCCACTCCACACAAGATTCTTTCAGTTCGTTTCTGATAGACTACACACGTTTGTGAACGCACTTCCATGTAGCAGGTTTTATCAGTCTGCCAGGAAGAAAAAAATTGTAAACAGTTGTTTTGGGGGCCACTGTAATGCTGAACAGTTGATTCTGTACAAAAATTGACACAAGATTACTGCATCTTTGTGACTGAGCTCCAAGTAAGATGTGAGACATATGAGTTTCTATTTTTTATGAAGCAACTTCACTCATGTTCAGCAGGCAGAAGATTCTCCACATTGATGAGCTTTTAGTACTTTTGTGTTCATCCATTCAAAGGGAGGAAACTGGCATGAACCCACTCCAGCAGGATATCATGAATGTATAAAGTAAAAATTGCCTGAAACCATATTACACACCCTATGTGAAAATGTGAATTTCTTTGCCCAATGGATAGATAACTAGTTAAGCCAATAGTTAGGCTTTAAGTTGAAATATTTACTAAAGAACTCATTGTGAAACATACCAAGTAAAGAATTTGTATGTTTTAATTAAAGAAGCCCTAAAAGATCATGGATTCAGATATTTTATATGTTTCTTTTTACCATGATCATGAGTTAATTATTATGCTCCTTGTATCATTATCACAGGATAAGAAATGTCATTTTTCCAAGAAAACTTAACGTAAAACATCCCAACGAGCAAAGTATTTTATATTGTCTTTAATGCAATGCACCACTCTTTTTTTGTTCATCCCTTCAACCTGGCACAACCTGTACCAACATGCTCCATATTATTGAAATAGCAGTAGGCATTTTTCATTTAGAATTCTTTACTTTGATCAATTTGATAAGCAAACAGCCTTTGCTTATCCAATTGCTACTCCCAAAATAATGTTCTTTTCTCTATGAAATTTGTAGTGTTATGTTAGCACAGAGATAACAGCGGTATACATTCACTCCTCTCACAGGGTTTAATAATATGTATGTCAGCCCTGTCTTGCTTTTGAAGTTGTGTTATAGCAGGTAAATAACATCTGTGTGTGGAGTATAATTAACTGCTCATCTGCTGAGGTCTTCAGCTGATCGTTGATAATATTAAGATTTGTATTGTAAACTGGCCAGTGAATACGGTGTCTGTCAAACTGTTGCATCCTACACTTTTCCATCAATCTTTCACTTCCTATTCAGATGCCGAAATATGGGGAGATTTCTTCATTGTACTTGGGCAGGAAGCTGGTAATCGTGTTGAATACCCTGCAGATAGTGAAGGAAACTTTTGGTCAGAATGGGGCCGTGTATTCTGGAAGGCCAGCTGTGCCAATACTAGACTGGATTACCAATGGGCATGGTCAGTAACACAAGACTCATGAACTTCTTTTTTTTTTTACTTTTTCAACTGTGATATATGCCTCAATATTGCTTTTTCATC